TCCATCCATCCATCCATCCATCCATCCATCCATCCATCCATCCATTATCTTTACCCGCTTCTTCCATTTTGGGTCACGGGGGTCGCCGGTGCCCATGTCCAGCAATCACTGTGCGAGGGGCAGGGTACACCCTGGACGGGTTGCAAGTCCATCACAGGGACACACAGAGACAAATGAGACAAACAACCATTCACTCTCTCACTCACACCTAGGGACAATTTAGAGTTACCAATCAGCCTAACATGCATGTTTTTGGTCTGTGTGTGACAAGAATACTAAAGTGAGATTTCTAAAATACAGAGATGAAACATCTCAAAGTGAGGAACTTAGCTTGATGTGAATTATTTGGAAGATGGTGTGGTGTTTCTTGCAGAGACAGGAGAGCCTACCTTCGAGTAGTCACTGCTGTGCTTTTCTCGTACTCCGTTTCTGCAGAGGGTGTAGTTGTAGAAGCGTGAGTTTTTCACCAGTGCCACCCATTCCTTCCAGCCAGGGGGCACATAGGAGCCATTGTACTCGTTCAAATACTTCCCAAAGAAGGCTGAAAATGTATGTGAGCAAAATGTGAATGCCCTGAAGTCACCTTTTCTTTTCTGGGAATTTCATGCATGATGAAAGGTTCTTTGAACAGACTCGGCAGAGCTCACCTGTCCTGTAACCAGAGTTATTAAGGTGCACAGCAAATGTGTGGGGCTCGTGGTGCGCCTGCCATGAAGGTGAGGAGCAGTTCTCGTTGTTGGTGTAAGTGTGGTGGTTGTGCACATACTTCCCTGTCAGGATGGAGGACCGGGACGGGCAGCACATGGGTGTCGTGGAGAAAGCGTTCGAAAAATGTGTGCCGCCTTTCTCCATGATTTGACGAGTTTTGTTCATGGCCTGCATTGAACCTGAGGACGAACAAAAACAATAATGTGCAGAAAAAGGGGAAGGTTAAAGAATCAAAGGCCAACAACAGAAATGAAAGGAACCCACAGGGACAAAAAGCTGAAGAAGAAGAAGAAGAAGAGCAAGTGATTCAGGAAAACGCAGACACAAGAAAATATTTAAATACATGGTGGACTCATTAAGAAGATGGTAAGAGGAAAGACAAGAGTGGAAGTTAAATGAGGCACTAAATCTTTTTGGTAAATTGTGACCCATTTAAATGTGTGTGTACCCAAAGCTTTACAGGCTGATGGTGATTGTTTGGGGAAACAGATGCTTGACCATAAATTCCTCCTTTTCAATAGTAGTCTTCCCACTGCGATCACACAAGGACAAAGGATGTCACAGAGTCCATTATGCAGCCACTCCAATCCAATACGCTGCTAAAGGACTTAAGCGGGTCGGGAGATGGTCAGACTTTGGCAACCAGACAATGGAAGCCATAGGCTGCCCTCATTTCATGCCAGAAACAGAGTTGGCAAAGGGAGCTCATGACTTTGAACCAGCTGTTATGTTGCCAGGAGGCGGCATTAGGCTGACTTTCTCTTGCAAATGTTGGATCCACATGGATAGAACACCAATACTCAGGGGACATGGTAAAAAAAAAAAAGCAAACAAGATGCACAGTCATAAGGGATTATCCGTCTTACCCAGCTCCATGTCCTGATCATCGGTGAGAATCAGAATGATATTGGGTCGGACGTTTCTGAAGTGACGGTCCCTCTGCAAACGGGACCTGAGGCGATATCCAGACAAGTAGCCAAAACCTTTCACTTCAGGGAGGCTTCCCACCAGGACAAGAAAGAGGAAAAGAAGAGGAAGAATGGCAGGGTACCCTCGCCCCGCCATCATGACAAACTGCTGTCTTCTCCTCAGTCCTTCATTCACCGCCCTGGGAGTCTGCAGGTTCCTCACGCAGCCTGAAACAAGACACAGGAGGGGGCTGATAAGAATAAAACTTTCAGATTCACGCACATACACACGGACACACAGAAACCACATTAAAAATTAGCAGATGCAAGCCATACACAGCCATTACAGGGTGTTCTTCCACGTAAATGCACCCGTTTGGGCTGAGCTCAGCTCGTTAATCAATCATTAATGATGCATTAGAGTGGTGTCATTGGCTGGTTGTAATGATCTCTGGTGATGAGCACATGGCTGCAAGGCTGGGGCTAATGGGCCTGGGCCTGGGGCCAGCTCAGAGCTCACCTCCCCATGAGAGGGTTTGGTGGACAGGAGGGATGCAGGGCAGTGGAGTTAGGAGGAGGGATGGGAGGAAGAGGTGAAGAAGAGAGATGAGCTGAGCTGAATGAAAACAGGGGTCAATGGGTGACAGTGGGTTGGAGAAAACAACGCTGAAGGAAACTAACTTATAATGAGCCTGGGAAAAAAATACCATGGTCAAAAACCCAATAAGTTATGATGTTTAAGGAGCTTAATATTTTGCCTAAAATACATTCCTACTATTAAAGTACTTGACTTTTCAGTGAGAATAATAATCACTATCAAACGTTTACTCTGAAGCTTGAAGAAAAATATTATCTGGTACAACTAAAGTCCTACAACTATCACTTACATATCACCCGCCACCTTTCATGCCAGTTATAGACTAGGATCATCTAATAAGCAATGACAAAGTTGAACCTCTTTGGTCAAGCTTTAAAAATAACAGAATGTGTGATGACTTGTTATACTGTATTCCCAGGTGTCACGCTCAGTTTTAAATGTAAATCTTGTGTTGTAAATGACTCTCAGCTACTATACCACACCAAACTTTATCTCAACATCTGCACAAATGATTGTCTTAAAGCAATATTTGTACTGGCTAACAGTGATTCGCTCATCCTAAAGCTAAAACGCTGCAGATGTGTGTCCAATGACTACATTCTACAAGCTTAATTAAAATTCAATTAATGTTATTTATATAGCGCCAAATCACAACAAAGTTGTCTCAGGGCACTTTACAGAAACGTTCACATACATAGAAAAGCCAATTATTAAAGTTCTCTATCTAAGGAATCCAGCAGACAAGTTGAATATTCACTTCGTTGCAGTCTCCCATCCTGAGCAAGCACAGAGGCAACAGTGGAAAGGAAAAACTCCCATTTAAAAGGAAGAAACCTCCAGCAGAACCAGGCTCAGGACAAGCGGACATCTGCTTTGACCGGGTGGGTCCAAAAATCTCAAAGTCGCAAAATTCCATCAAGTGGTTCACGAGGTATTTTGCTAACAGACAAAGTTGACTCCAAATAGTTTATAGCAGAAGTTTAAACACAGGTCTCGTACAATCTGAATAGTTTCAGATACAGCCACAGAGAACTGCAGTCAAACTGTAAAATTAAAACGGTGTTTTTATTAGGTTGGTTCTTGAAGTGGGCTCCAAAAGTTAACTTTGAAACACACTGACACGGGAAACCAACCTGGAGCGCTATGCAGTGATGTAATCACTATTACATCTGAGGGCGTGAATGACAACGTCACAGATGTCGGTGGTACACACCAAGACATTGTTGTTGTGGCCTCCAACAACCCCTCATCGGAAGAAGGGGGGGTGAACTCACACACAAACGATGACGAGTCATCGCAAGCTGAACACTCAGAAACAGCTACTGCTGTGCTGACGGTTCAGACAAACCAAGATTACACAGACAAAGCTGAGCGTGTGAAGAAACGTCAGAAAAAACCTAAGAGGTTTCTGTGTAACTTTATCAGAAGGGGGGTCGCCAAGAAGGCATACCTGTCGGTAACGCTCGAAGGAGTCCTCACACATGAAGCACTACTGGATGGTGGGGCGGACATAACAATTATGTCAGCTAAACTGTTCGAGGAGCTGAGGACAGCCGCTGGCAGTGTTAACAGGGTAATACCTCTCACAGAATGTGCTATAGAAATGCAGGGTCTCTCAGAGAAGAAGACAACCCTGACAGCTATAGCAATGGTTCACATGCAGATTGGCAGAATGACACTATACCACCCGGTACACGTGTCTAGTGTTGACTCATTCCCATTTTTGGTTGGCCAGGATTTTATAAATCGCTTCGATGCGATTATAGATTATGGTGATCAGACGATGTGGGCCAAGGTGAGCAAACCACTACCAATAGAAATGCCTCCGGAGTGTAACACAGACTGCCTAACAGCAGGTACCGCGGAAGGCGCAAAGGACTCCTCAGCCGAGGACACGAGCCCGGTGAGTATTCCTCTGAAATCATGTGAAACAAAAGAGACCCACCCGGTGGTCCAAACTCTGACCCAACAAGAAAGCCTCCTCTGTGAGCTGGAGCAGTCAGAGTCCACCAAACACTACCTACCACTGGTAGTTAAGGGTGTAGAGATCCAAGGGTCCCACACCAACGATGCTGTTCTGTCTCTGTGGACAGATAAATCAGCAATTAACCGAGCTTTCTACGAAACCTTGGTTCACAAACACGTTGGTCTAGAACTAATTAAAAAAGCTTTCCGCTTTCCATTAGTTCCCAATAGTTCACAGGTAATGACCGCGGAAGGAGTCATTAACCTAAAACTAAACTGGAACCAACGAGAACTGGTTCACCCGTTTCTCGTGATCCAAAACTTACCACATGCAACCTACATAGGCTCTGACATTTTGGTAAGGTTGGGTGTCCATGTGGACACCATCAACAAGGTGCTGTGGTCCCTAAAACCAGCCACAAAGGATCCTCCTGTGCTAGACACAGCAAACCTTAAGGCTGGGCAGACCATTCCAGAGGCCTGCCAGGTGGCTAACAACCAAACCACCACAGTACCACCTCAGGTGATTAACCTAATGGTGCGAATCCACATCGTAGCTGGACAAGTTATTAGCCATAAACAGGCATATTTTCAACCTTCTCCTGCGTTTTTCAACTTGGGACTGTCCGTGGAAGCCACGAAACAAGTGAGCCTTGACTCCAGGACCACATCTGTTGCTGTGTGTAACACAGGCACGGATGAGGTGATGATCCCAAAAAACACTATGCTAGGATGGTTGATTTCCACTGGTTTTCATGATTTTGAACTAGGCATTCCATTTCTGGGAGGACTCCCAGATAACCTGGTACCAAGTCAAGAAGCTGGGCCGGTATGGTTCACAAAACCAACACAGGCCATAGCTCTTTTTTCAACCGATGACGTCGACCAAGGACCTCAAACCTATGGTGTCTTACCCATAGACAGGTCCGACGACTCAGAAAGGGATTCGTTGGAGCTCCCCAAAGAGCAAGAACCCTTATCAGTCTCATCACAGATTGAACAGGTGGTCGCCCAAGCCGACGCTCTGACATCTGATGAAGAAAGGGACAAACTTCGCCAAGTTCTTTTAAAATATGAAAAGTCATTTTCAACTGACCCAGACATCATCCAACTTCAGAAGTTGGATCCTGCAATTAACTCGATGATACTGTATCTGACTGACCCAGACAAATACACTCCATCGATAGGCGAACTGGATTCCACTCCAGACCTTAAAGTCCTCTTTCAGCTGCGCAAACAGTTAAAACTACTCGAGGACAACCTAACTTTAGCTCATGGAGCGACGTCCTCACCCGTGTTCGCGGTCCCCCATGACCGAAGGGGGGTGACGTCAGTTAGGGTAATGTTACCAGACGCGATAACGTGATCAAATCTGACATTCAGAGTGAGTGGCGCACCGAAACGTCGTTTTCTAGTTGCTTAATCACTACTTTTGTCAATCTTGAAACATTGTTTTACTGGTTGCTTAGTCACTGTTTTTGTCGATGTTGAGACATCGTTTAATTGGTTTTTGGTATTGTTTCTGAACACCCCAAGCAAGAATGAGTTTTGTATGTATTTTAGTTGGAGACTGTAAAGGACTTTAACTATGCCAACATGCAGTTCATTTGTTAAAATGCAATCTTTGCGGAGTCAATGTAGATTAATGCTACCTTAAGTACCATAATCTACATTGGTCTCACAACGCTCAAGCCGAACCTACTCGAACAATTCTATTCGGGGGGATAGCTAATTCTTTTTGATGAGTCTCGCCATAGACTCCAAAAACATTTATGGGGAAACCAAACACCCAATCTCAAGTCGTTCGTCTAAAAGGCAACAGACAAGTAAACCAACTATAGTGGCCATGTAAGTCTAACATAGACAATGTTAGCGATGGTGGTATAGTTGGAACACCCTTCTATAGGTATAGACCCCTATAACTACCCTTTTCAGCATATTCCACCCCTTAACTGGTAGCTGTAGCTGTTCCCAATCATAATAGCTTACACACCAGGTGCATATAGGTTAAGGCCTTATGTAAAATCCCCTTCATAAGCCCACCTTAAACCACATAATTGCATGACACATAGAACCAGAACAGCACCGACTGGACGTCACCCAGCGACGACCTTCGCTGGAGGGGACCTGCAATCCTGACGTTGGTCTCCAATCTGCATCCAGTGGCCGCAACTTCAGTTCAATCAAGGGAACCCCTCTGTATGCTGATCAATCAACACCTCCATTCGTTGTGAATTTATCATTGTGGATTATATGACTTTTTCCAATGGATTACAGACTTTGTTTCCAAGGGGTTAAAGCATTGCTACAATGGAATTACCAACAACATTATGGAATTACCTAAACCGTTGTGGGATTACCTTCTTTGACTTTTGTTTTCCTCTTGCTGGATTACATCAAGCTCAAGGACATTCCGAGGCGTAAGTTCATGTTGGAATTCATCCCCATGGACAGGCGATGATTTCCAAAGGGGGGACTGTAGTGAACTAAGCCTCAGGTCAAAACCTGACCCTGAGGACCTTCATGGGACAGGAACTGTTATTTCATTGATTTGAGTCCAGAAATACAAATTAAGCTCATCCAGAGACTTTCTA